TTATTTGCACGGTGGAACTCAGGAACCACTATATCACTGTGGCAATGACTGGAAATGATAAGACTTGCTTTTCACTGCAGAGTGTAGACCTCTGAACAAGTCGTTTACTGTTCAAATTAACTGTGATCAGTTCATTTGGTGCTTTGTCCCACTTAAATAATGAGGTAGTTGATTTCTCATTTTGTGTGAGAAAGGATTTAAAGAAAGAGTATATGAGAAAATTAGTTTTTTATCCCCAAGGAAGATTGATGAAATTTTCAAGATATTTAAAGCTGAAATACCCAATAATTTTTATTTAAAATGTCTGGATAATTGAATAGAAATATTTTCTTGACCTTGCCTGATGGTTAGTAGCCTGGGATTTTTTTATTATACATGCAAATCCAAGTAAGAGATTGGAGAAGACATCATTGTAACAGACCAAATCACTTTCATCCCAATTATTAATTTTAGTCAAAACTGCCTTTTTCTCTCAAACCTATTGAATAATAAAGTTAAAAACTAATATAGATGATTTAGGCAATTCTTTCTTACTCTGTTCATTAGTGTCAGCTGGTCTCATAGTTTGAAAAATAGTAAGTCCTATCTTTTTATTTTTCTTTCCTTTAAACAAAACAAAACAAAATTTACATATCAGAGATAGCTCTGTTTAGAATGCTTTATCGCTGGAGAGCAGTTTTGGGGAAACCAGTTTTGTGAAACATCAACCTCTTCTAAATGTGTTTTGGTTTTATTTCAGTAAGATAATTTCATCTCATTCTGTTACTATCCTTTGTGCATTTCTCTAGGTCAGTTAACCATGATTGTGGGCCAAGTGGGATGTGGGAAGTCCTCCCTTCTCCTTGCCATCCTCGGTGAGATGCAGACACTGGAAGGAAAAGTTCACTGGAGCAAGTATGTGTAATTTTAATTGGTTTGTATTGCTCTGTCACACATATGATGATCTTTCATGGGAAGAAATTAGAGCAGTAGATTCCCATGTTAGGAGTCTGAGGATCCCCTTAGAAATAAGCACTTTATTTATTTATTTATTTATTTATTTATTTATTTATTTAGTGAAACCTTAAATGTCATAAATTAAAAATTACAAAGCAATTTTTATAGAGATTTATATAATAGTATAAACTAGTATGTTGCTGAGATAAAAGTAAGATTGCGATTACAAAGTTAGATTTTAAAGGGAGAACACTCAAAGAAATAATTTAAAAGTTCATCTTGTAATAAAAGAATTTATGGAAAATTTGCATTATGTATAAAGCTTAAATGCAAACAGAGCCTTAATGGTTCTCTGTTCAGAGAAAAAATACCAAACAGTCTTTTGTAGAATCTTTATAATGGGCTGAGAAATCGGCCATTTCTCGTTATACCCAATTTAAACTAGACTCTAGAAGTGTCTGGTTAGAGATATGGATAGGTCAGACAGTCGACTGTGCTGTGCAGTCCTGAAGACATGGAAAAGGAGATTTGTAGCATGGAACGTCTTCTGGATAACTGAATGGTAGACTTGGAGTCTCCAAAGCATATTGAAGTAATAACGTGACTCAGAACCATACTACTATCTACCTAGTAGACTCCCCATAAGCAGTTTTGGAAGAAATTGGTTACAGCTTATCTAAAAAATTGGACTGTAGACTAGTTGTTCTCAACCAGGTGTAATTTGGCGGACATTAGGCAATGTCGGGAGACGTTTCTGACTGTCACAAAGGAGAATTAGGCTGCTACTGATCTAGTTGCTAGAGGCTAGGGATAATGCTAAATAACCTACGAGTTGTACAATGCACAGGAGAGCCCCAGGCCTCCTCACAACAAGGAATCATCTGGTCCCAAATGTCAGTTGTGCCGAGGTTGGGAAACCTTGCTTTAGACCTACAGATGTTCTTTAATCGTTTTGTACCTACCATTGTGAATTCTGTTGTGGCTTAGCCCGCGGTTCACATACTCAGACATCTTTCAAGAATGAGTGAAGACTATTTAAGGTCATTTTGAGAATAGATTCTATTTTAAACTCTAATTAAGAGAATGGAGTGCTTGGATGTGAAATTCAAACTGGAAACAATAGAACTGTAAATCCTATTTTTAGTGTCATCGGCGAAAGAACGAGGCTGAGAGATGTGGATGTATATTTTATTCCTGTTGGGCAAGATTAACAGATAGTAGACAAGAATCTATCCCGTGAATATGCAGCAGAGAACTTGATAAATAACTGCTAACTGCAGTTTGCTTCATGACAAGTTCCTGTTGATCACTAAGATTAGGCACCTGGCAGTGTCTGTGCAGCCACTGTCACCTTCAGTTTGGGATGACTGTATGTTTTGAAAAGCAGGTCTTCCTGGATTAAATTATATTGAGTGACATGTACAGCCATAATCAGTTCTATTGTTTCAGAATGATGCAATTCAACTCAATTATTAAAATATAGAAAAATGAAATGAATAGGTCTTCAGGTGTTTTTCCCCTTATATAG